AATTCAGTTTTGTCACAGAACAAGCAATGAAAAATTCGGTGATAGTGCAGCGACCTGTTTAAAATAGTTCTATTGGATATTAGTAGTGTATATGAGCGCGAACGAATCGTACAAACAAAAAAAGGGGTCAATAGGTTTCGCAGGATTTCCTCGGATAAGAAAATTACTAGTTCACCCGGACGGCGAGCCGATTCCCGGACTGTCCGGACGATAGCATAGTTTAGGATGTTTCAAATTTTTACAAGATTTTATTATTATTTATTGTGAAATTTTGCCGCCCCCACTACGGTACGCCACTGCGCTCAACGTTCGACGTTCACGTTTTAGAGATGAAAACTTCGGCCGCAACCTCTCTAATGACATATTATACAGTCCGATGAAGTGCAGTGGAAATAGATTATTTCAAGCGAATTTTCATCGATGATTTATTTACTTAATAAAACGACTAAATTATCACTAATAATGCTATTAAATTTCGTATAAAATATCGCTAAATTTTTAACATTTTTTATTAAAAAAATACTATACAAGTCGACCACCCCTATAACACAGTTGATTTTTCCGTTTTATATGAATTCCATGTTGTACGAGTCACTTAGATTTTACAAATACGTGAGCTGTTCACAGCCCGGCACACNAATTATAAAAATTCTGTAAGATTTTATAGTGTTTTTGTATCTATAAAAACTTTTTAAAACTTGAAATATATCAAGGGCCGGATTTAAACATGTGGTCCTAAGCTATAAAATACAAGATGTAATTCTTCCTTTACCAAATAATGGATAATGCATATTTATTAATTAAAATTACGATATCACGAATATCATCTCTTCTCATCCTCATCCTGTTACGTTTACAAAGGATGAGGAATATGCATATTTATTTATTTATTTATCGATTATTTTGAACAAGAACCGTAATTTGTTTTCATTTTATAGATTTATAAATTACATCCAAAAGGGGGCGTCTAATGAAATTCAGGGGGCGCTAGATTTGTTTGGTGTCTTCTGCTCTGGTGAGTTTTGTGGATTACGTTTATTTTTCGATTAAAATTTGACTCAAAATATAATTAAACTTGATAGAAGATGGCAAATATTCATTAATGATAACGTATTTGCAATTTAAATATCTTTTTTACGGTGAATTATTGATAAAATTCTAACGTCTGTTTGAAGTTGTTTGTGGTGTAAATTCTCTCAAATTATTGAAAATATTATTAATTTTCGCGTATTAAGTAATTTATTATTACTTATTATTGTAAAATATACAATATTATACAAAAATTAGCTAATTTTTGTTCGAATTTCATTAGCAATTGTACTTCGTCACACGGTATAAGTACGTCATTATTTAAAGTGCGCGCGCAACTTAATGTAAATTTTATTTATTAATGAGCGAAAAGCCACGTGCGGAATATGTTTTTGTAAGGAACTTTGTTTTCCGTTCTGTCATTGATATGTTTAGAAAATTGAAAATGGCTGAAATTAATTTTATAGGGTATAAATGTAAACATAAGTTATTTTTTGATGAAAAAAACAGTGAAAGCAATTTAAGATTATCCCTTGCTGGGCACAGAGTTGCCTCCAGCAGAGATTTTTTTCATCAGTTTTTTTTAATAGTTAGTTTTCTTTGTTTCCATCTTTGCTCAAATTTATATTTTCAGGCTTTTATAGTTGAGTAATTGTGTATGTAGATCAAATGTATGTCTGATTTGTGAGCCAATAGTGATTTTAAAACAGTAGGCAGGCAAAATAACATTGGTTGAATGATTATTAATTAATAATAATCTGTCTATATAAATTTGAACTGATGCATGTCTATTTGAGTATTATATGGAACAGCTGAACTGATTTCCTGTGAAACATTGCAGGTAGGCTCTTTTCCATTTCCAAAATCATTTTATTTTGAAAGCTTTGACTTTGAATTATGATACTATTTGCATGAGTTTTACACTTGGTTTCTTATCAGATCTTTTGCATAAATAGGAAGTTTAGTCCAGAGGTTGAATGGAAAAGTTGCTCATTGAAGTAAAATCATATAGTAAAACCCCTTCTTACTCTCACGTCATATAACTTGGACTAATTTTTTTTTTTTTTTGTTTTTTTGAAAAATTTGTATAGTAATTCAAAATTTCTTCACAATAGAAAAATTATAATTTAATTACAATTATAATTAATATTAAAAATTTATAATTATTAAGGATAGGTAAAATATTTATGAAAATGTCATATTTCATAATTTACAATTAAGATTTATAATTGATTAATGAATGTAATATTCTAGAAATATAGAAATATATTTATTAAAGCTTTCACATAAATTTAATTATAAAAATATGTTTGAGAAAAAGTAGTCAATTTTTAATTTTTTTTTACATAACTAATAATTTCATTTTTTACTATCATCAAAAATTGAATTTAAATTCTTCTATTTATTTAAAGATGGATCAGAGAATTCAGGCAGTTGCTGGATATTTGAAAAAAATAATTGTTTTTGGGAATCATATTCATTCTGAATCTCTAAGGTGATTTCAAATGTTTTATGTAAATATTTCTTGAACCGTCTTTTAAAATACATATGGTATTTTCAATGCATGCCAGAGCTGTCAGATATCTATTTTGAGTCTGATAAAAAAAACCATGGGAAATCCTTTTGTGATTTGATGAATTTACAACAATTTCTTAACCAAACGAACAATTTCATTCACAGAAATGATTTGACTAGTGGCAAGTGGGAACACTAGAACACACACATTTAGAATGTGCACAAATGTATGTGCTCATGCCATGCACACACAAGTCTATATGCTCCTTTATATGAGAGGTATGCTCTTATAAGTGAAGCAGGACATGTGTTTCAGAAATGTGAAAACGAGCCCTTTTCACATATAGAAAGGAAAATATGGTTTACTTTTCTACGTAGGGACTTATTTTGTGACTTTTCTACATGTGAGAATGTGCTAGGTCTCTGAGAATAGCTTAATGACAAATATAGTAAATGAGAAATTTGACATGGATCATGTTTTATCTTTCATATCATCCTCAAAGTTTAGACTTAATAACACAATAATTCACTATGGGACATAGCAAAAGCAAATTTCTTTATTTTACAACAATGGAAGCCCTAAACACACCTATCTGGGATTTTTTTTTATGATTTCCAACTTTCATTATGGGAATGGTATCCAGATTTGCATAGAGAATGGAAGGGAATATGTAGATGACTTTTAACTAGCATATGTAAATATTTTGTGTTGACTTTGTAATCTCAAATTAAATACTATCTTAATTAATTAATTAACTGTTATATGGATAGTGAAAATAACAATGATGTAATTTCTGAATTATTATACAGGGTGGGTAATAAGTAATGCTTTTTTGAAATTTAAAAAAATTTTAAATTTTATTGAACAGAAATTACATAAATACAACAACAAAAATACAATGATTAAATATTAATGAATTATGCAATATGCTTTGTGTTCAATTATGTGAGCGTTAAGGTGGCTTTTCTTTTCAGCTAGATTTATTACATCATCAATAAAAAGGAGGACAAGCTTTAGAAAAACTTTTTATTTATTTGAGTATGCATTTCAGACAATTATGTCCCTTTTCAACTCGTGTTACAACTATACGGGAAAAATTACATACAGGTTAGCATAAATTTATTGTAATGTTACAAAATTGTAAAAGATCATTAGGAAACTTACATGGATTATGAGAAATGCAGGAGTTGTAACATTAGATAAAATATGGATGGTAATTATTGATTAACATGGTTTATTATTAATGGACATGCTTAAAATGTTTCTCTTCATATTCAATACAATGCTGAACTCTGCTAGCAACACTTCTACAAACTTTTTGACACATTTTCATGGTAATTACAGAAAATTTCTCTGCAATTACTTGTTTTAATTCAGGAATTGTTTTTGGTTTGAGGCCGTAAACTTAATCCTTCAATAGATCCCACAAAAAGAAAGTCCGGTGGTGTTAGGTCTGGTGATCGTGATGGCCACTCAGTAGGTCCTTGTCATCCTATCCATCTCTCCTCAAAATTTTGATTTAACCATTCTCAAACATTTAAAGAAAAGATACAGTATAAGATATATCAAAAATAATCTAAATATATAAAATTGCTTGTCCTGACTGACTCACTCATTCATTCACTGATTCATCATCGGCCAGAGCAAACCGCTTAACCTAAAGAGGTGAAATTTGGTACACAGTTAGGGTACGTCATGGAAACGCACACTAAGAAAGGATTTTTCGAAATTCCAACGCGGGGGGGTGAGGG